TGACTCATTGTGATTTCTCACCTGATTTTGATCTCTAAGGAGCAGGACCCGTATCACTGTTGTCTGGTGGTAGTGGTGGTATCACATCCTCGAGAAGACAATCTATATTGTCAGGGATTGGAGATTTCTCACCTGATTTTGATCTTTTAGGGGCAGGACCCGGTAGCTTCTGTCAGTTTTGTTGAGTTTGCTGCATTTGCATCAGTATCGAGAGATGTGGGTGTGGGTGCATCAACGTCCACTTCCATTACTTCGTCTTCTTGCCCTTTGCTTGTCCCGCTGTCGTTGGCTGCACCTTTATTTTTATTTACCTTGGCATTTTCACTTGAATGCCGTGCTAGCAAGTGATTCTTCATATTGCTAGTATTAGCGCAATAGACTAGGACTGTGGAACATAGGTGTTACTTAACCTTTTTCTTAATGTCTAGGAGGAAGTCAAAGAACCGCCACACTTTTGACTTTCGTGGTCCCATGTTATAAACTTAGGGAGAATTAGGGAGAATGAGAATTTGAGAAATTGAGAATGAATATTACATTAATATAGAATTATCACAGAAACAGATATGACGAGGAGGACTGCATAAGCTCACGTGCACGATAGAATAATATCAATAATAATAACAAAACAAGAAAGAAAGTAAGAAAGAACAAGACAGCAGCTGCAGCAACATCTACAGCTGGGGCCAATCAGATTCTAGTGCCAGCCGACGTCATACCTAAAAGTCCAATCACATTTGTGGTTTTATCTGACCCAATGCTGGAGGTTGATCAACCTTTCGTTTGAATTAATCGATTATCGTTTGAAGTAATCGATTGTGTACGATTGTCGATTATTTTTTATTAATCGTTTGAAGTAATCGATTATACGATTAATCGGGGAAGAAGTAATCGAGCACTAATCGTAATCGAAAGGTAACCGATTAATCGAATAATCGGTTAGTAATCGATAATCGGAACATCCCTACTCGCTGGCTTCTTGGAGGAATCGAGTTTTCTTCTCCAGGTTGTTTTCCAGTCCGGCGGCGGTTTAAGCTTCAAGAGTAACCTGGCAGGGGCAGAGGTGAGTGCATGGAAGGCAAGATTTGATTTTACATGTACTAAGAGATGAACAAGTGAGGCGCAGGTGACAAATTTTAGGGTGAGGGGTGGGATTGAGGTTAAATTGGTAATTGGGTGGGGCGAATGAAAACATTTCGGGAGGAACTGAATGAAGTTGAGATTTAGGGATGGTGAAGTTTCGAGGTTTGGGGGGGATGGATGTGGATGCCTGCATTGTGGTCTAGGCCTTGTGACCTCTGAGCTGGTCCTCTTGGTTTTGGTTTGAAGATCGCGACCTTCTTCGGGTCGCACGTCATACCGTGTTGTGCTGCGAAGTTTTTAGTGGTTTGGGCCCATTTACTGCTTGGCTTGGCGTGATGTCTCGTGCCGGATTTTGAGGTGGTTTGATGGTTTGCTCTGTGGCGTATTTTTGGGTCGAGAAAGCTGTTGTGGGGCAGCCGCCAGGAAAAGGAGGATGGCTCCTCGTGGATGTAGCGGTGCCGGATGAAACGACCTGTCAGATGGAAGAACTTGTCGACTGTAGCCATGGATCGTGGATTGAAGACTGAGTACTGTGGCAGGATGGAAGGCCTTTTTATAGGCGAGGCCGGGGCACTATTTTCCGCGGGAAAGCTGCTTGATTGATTGGTTCGGCTTTCTTTCATTGTTTTACCAAGTCTGGGAAGCGGAAGTGCACCTTCCTCCGTGATCGAGTCCCGTATTCCGGGGCTTTGGTCTCCGCTTCGTCGGGTACTTGTGATCGTTGTTCCTGAGTGTTCGAGAGCCATTATCAGTGGGTCAAACTCCGGAGGTAGACCACTTAGCATAATAACACTAATAAACTCATCAGAAATAGCAGCGTCTGCATTCAGATCAGCAAGTTTGTGAGAAGTTGTCAAAATCTCACGCAGGTACTCTTCCATGGACGAAAAGTTTTCTCTTTTAATGCTGAATAACTTACGTAGCAAGGTTAAGCGTCCTAAAGATGCACGGTTTCACTGCTAAGCATAGCTCGCGAGGGCTTTCTCATCATTCCTCCTCCTCTTGTTTTCATCTCTCTCGTCAGAATCTGGATATCCATCGACACACACCCACAAGTCGTCGTGGATGAGCGACATCCTCATAGCGAACTTCCAGTCTGAAAAATTTTCCCGGCCGGAAAGTTTTTCGAAAGTAAACTTTTCTGATTTTTCTTCACTCATCATCGATTTGAGTGATCGGACGAATAAAACACTTTAGTGGCGTTCCCACTGGAATTCTGTCTACGATTTCCACTACGCTTGTTCACCAAAGCCACCGTCTCGTCAGATTTGCGTTGCTCGTTCCCTTCCTCCAGTAGTCTGGACTTCACCAACCTTACAGTCAAGTTTTCTTGTTTCCCCAGTTGCTCGATCAAGGTTTCGTATTTCTTCAGCGGAAGCCCCAGAAGAATGATTCCTGCCAGTTGCCTATCCGTTAAGTCCCAGCCAGAAGATTTCGCGTGTTGATACTGGCACTGGACGCGTGCGACATGTTCATGGATTTCTTCGGAGTCATTAAAGGACATAGTGAAGAGAGAGCGTAAGTGTCTCAAGCCTTGCAGAAAGCTTACCTTCGTATGGATTTCTGCTAAAACAATCCAGGCATTTTTCGCCAACGTACAATCAGCTATGTCGCTGAGATAACTATCGCTTACATTCTTATACAGGAAAGCGATGGCTTTCCGGTTCAGCCGTTGCTGGTCAAGGTTGAGATCAGCAAGTTCCGAGTCACCGAAACCTGGTTCAATGGCGCACTACACATTTGCTTGTATGAGTTCGGCCTTTGCCCGAAGAGCCAATGCAAAATAGTTTTTGTGTGTTAAACGCGGTATGTTGCTTTTATATTCCGTATCATTATCTGCCATCGTATCGTTCAAGCACAATCTGTTTCAATCCGACAATCGACACAATCCAACGCACGAGGCACGAGGTAGTCCCGGCACAAATTTTAGGCTCAGTCACAATCAATCACAATCTAGACTTTCGTTCGCGTACATTACACATTATATCCCGATCATCGCGGAAAGAGGAGAAAACGTAACTGGAGACCCATAACCTGTAGGTTTCCTAGAGGAAAAAAACGGATGAAAGAACTTAAGAATTAGTCTAGCTTGGAGACGACAGGTTTATTCGACATGAAAAACGTACAGCGGTAGGTGATGAACGAACGGGAACATGGCGAGAGAGAGAGAGAGTAAGAGTACACAGTTGACAAAGAGAGCCCATAGAGGGTAGCACTGTACGGCAATAGGGTTCCAACAGCCTGTCCGTTTTAATTTAGGCCATCATTATCCGAGAGTCTTGTCACAGAGATGATTAAAGTTGCGGTCGCGTTTCGCGATGCACTGCTGGGCAACCATAACCTGTTGTTTCTGTTAGGTGAGGGTGAACGAATCGAAAAAAACAGACATGAAACTCAGAGAACTTTATTAAAGTCAAAACGGACGTGGTATATAAGATTCCATTAGCGGAGTACATGAACCGAACAACTAACAACCATGACTATCAAAGATGACGTAGGCATGCATGGCGGTGTTGCCAACAGGAGCAGGATTATCTTAACAACAGGGTGTTGGGAGCGGAACCGCAGCTGGAACTGGAGTGATCTTGGGGTTCTGTGACTGGTTCTTTGGGTAGAATGTAGGCCGGTTTAAGGCAGTCGATCTTGATGTTGTCTTGGCTACCTTTTATCAGTAGTTTGTACACTTTGTCGGCCCGCTCTACGATCTTGTATGGCCCGGTGCAGGGAGGCTGCAGAGACTTGCCTGAGGAAGGCGTGGGAGCACGTTTTCAGGTCCATGAAAATGAACGTGTTTTCCGTGCCATGGCGGGAGGCAGGTTTAGGCCGAAGATTTGCCATCTGGCTGCGTAGTTTGCTGACGTATTCTGCGGGGGTGTCTTGAATGTTTGGGTTAGCGACAAGTAGTTCCCCAAGTAGAGGTTTGCCATAGGTCAGCTCTGCGGGCGTTGCTTGAGCGTCCTCTCTGAAGACTGAACTCATGCCTAGAAGCACTAAAGGGAGGCAGGGGCGTAGCTAGGAAATTTCTCTGGGGGGNGGGGGGGGGGGGGGGGGGGGGGGGGGGGGGGGGGGGGGTTGAGGAATGGAGGATCCCAAGATTAAGAGGTAGCGCCCTCCCCCCGCCACCGGATTTGTTTTTAAATCAAACGTCTTTAGAGTGTGAAATAAACATGTTTTTCATGATATTTCATTTATGTAGAATACTTAGAGGAATAATTTGGGTCAGGAAGTAATAGGACAGACTTCATAATCAAGTTGGTTATTTACCTTTAGACTTTATTCACTCGAAAAAACAACAGTCACGTATAAATGTAGCATAAAGAAGAAAGCTGCAATTGATATGGTAATTTTACAAAAAAAAAAACACTTCTCTACTTGCATGTAATTGAGTGGAAGCGATGAAAAGTGGCAAAATTTGGATCACATGAATTTTCCTTTTGTACGACAAAAAACTTCAATGATAGCAGCAGCGGGAACCTTTTCTGTAAAAAATAGCTTTTCTATGTGAAAAATAGCAAGGTTTGAAAATCACGATTGGCCGGTCGTAGAACGAAGCCACGATTTGATTCTTCGCATTACTGAAAAACTCCTTTCACAACCGGCTGAGCTGACGTGAAGGCCGATGGCTACATGGAGAAGCTTGTAAAAATTTGGCATGATGTCTTTATTTACTTCTTTTTTGACATTTTTAAAGTTGACCTCAAGCCCCTTGTTTGCCAGTATATTTTTCAATACTGCTGCCTCAGCATTTAAGGAGTGGATGTCAATTTTAAAAATATTTTTGTAATGATTAATAAAAACTACTTAGCTAAGTTTAACTGCATAAAGGCATCCCCTGATTCTGCCAGAGGAACGGACTCGAACCTGCGTTTAAAATATGAAATGACGTTGTCTAAAACCCTGTTACACACATTGATTTTCCCGTAGTCACGGGGCCTGGTATCAGATGGGAGGGCGGTCAGTTGACTTCTTCCTAAAGTAGTTTGAACGTAGCACTCGCTCAATTTTGAAGGCGCCTGCTGCTTCCTTTTCTTTAAGATAGACACAGGCTCCAGCGAAATGTCGTTGTTGTTCGCAAATTCTTCGATCTTAGCCCATAAGTCATCAAAGTTATTTCTCGATTCTACGAAAGTAGTTTGAATGCTAGCAATAACTGAACTTGCTTTACCAAGCGTCGCATTTGTGCCTTGTAAATATTTACTCAGCACATTGGTCACTGATAAAACTGAATGTATTACGAAAAGATTTACAACGAATTCAGGTTTTGTGATAGATCTCAACAAACCAATGGCCTCCACCATACCTCCATCCTGCGCCCCCTCAATATCCTTCTCAAGAGCTTCTTTGATTGCGCCGAAATTGTTCATTACGGCATTGCAGTTAGCGTAACGAGCGCTCCATCTTGTGGTGCTTAGGCTTCCCAATTCTTTTCCACCCTTGATGTTTAGCTTCTTTTGAATCTCTGCTAAGATGGCATGGTTACCAGATGGATATATGAATATATCATACCAGATGGATATGAATAGTGGATGTAAAGAGCTTCAAGAGTATTAAAGAAAACATTAGCTGACTGGATATCGGTGCAGGAATTGACAACGACCAAATTTACTTTGTGAGCTAAGCAGTGGATGTAAATTGCGTGCGGGTGCAATGCCCTCATTTTCATCTGTAGACCTGCGTGCTTTCCGGACATCACGCTGGCTCCATCGTATGATTGTCCAATCATTGGTAAACCGTCCATACCGCAGTTTATTAAAAAGTCTTGAATCATTTGACCCAGCGACTCAGCATCTCTCGCCGTGGAACAATTGAGGAAACCCAAAAATCTTTCAACTACCTGCAAGTCTCTTACATACCTCAAAACTACTGACAACTGCTGCTCTTTGTAACATCTAGCCTCGTCGACCATTAGTGAGTGAAACCCACACTGGCGTACTTCCTTTCCAATTTCTTGAAGGGTTAGACCGGCTGCAATGTCAATTATTTCATTCTGAACATCTGGGCTGTGGTAGTTGACGCGCTGATGAAAGTGTTTTGCAAAGGAGTCATTGTGATTCGCAAAAAGCTCACACAACTCGATAAAATTCCCTTATTCGCAGTCAGCCTTCTCATCATGCCCTCTTAGTGGCATACCTTGACAACTAAGATAGTAGATGATGTCAGCGAGTACTCTCAAGTATTGTTTCTTCTCTTTTATCGCCTTCTGACTCTGATTTGCAACTTGCTCGCGCACATCGCCGGCTGCGTTGGCCATTAGGTATCCCAGATACTTTTGATGACAATCTGAGTGCTTATCTGATTTTTCGTGTTTCTCAATGGCATCTTCCTTTTTTTTCCATTTGAAAAACCCCGTTTTCGTGAACTTCTCATTTTGGTCACGAATATCCCCGGTAGCAAAATGTCTACACTCAAAGCAGTACCTTCGATTATTTTCTACACTATACTCCAGCCACGGGTGATTTTTATAATAAACATCGGAAAATGATCGGGTTCTGTCACCACTTTGAGTTTTCGGGAAATTAATTGTTGGTTGTTTCGGCCCACTCTCTAGAGTCCCAAGATCTGACGATTCAGGTGCTTTTTCCTTGGTTGGGTCCATTTTTTCAGTCGAGGGATTTGTTGAGGCTTCCGCTTCAGATATTGATGGAGGGAAGGTGGGTGTGGGCATTATTGTGCAGTCACCTCTTGGGAAAGTATCATCATCACGGTGATTGCTACCTGGAGAGGAGGAGAGGGTTTTTTTTTAAAAAAAAAGATCGAATGTCTGCCACTTTCTTTATTTTAAAACCGCAGAAGAACGAAGAGGAAAAACACAAAAATACGGGGAGCTCTTGCGCTCAAGCAACGGGAGGAACACTGGAAACTACTTCTGCTTGATAATAATGTGGCACAAAATAATCGCGGCACAAAAGTGAAGGACACACTAACACTGGACACGCTCACTAATAGTCAGGATAATTGAACTATTGGCTCAGGCGCACCGGCATCATATTTATATCGGTGAAGCGAGCGCCGAGAAATTCGAGAAGAATCTAGGCAGGACTAAGGGATGAGAAAGATAGCGAGTCTGGAAGAGTCGGGCAGACTCAGGAAATTTCTAGGAAGGCCCGCTAGCGAACGCGCGGTTGCCAACTCATCTGTGCTGTGTGCCGCGTGGCCGGTCACATGTTGTCCGAGTTTGTGTCTCCGTTTTTCTGGGGGGGGGCAGCCCCCCCAGGACCCCCCTAGCTACGCCCATGGTGGGAGGGCTTCTAGCCATGTAGAGTTTGGGTGGCACATAATGGCGTCTTGAGGTGTCTTTGCATCCGTTCGACCATTCCGTTTGCTGCGGGCTGATATGGAGTTGATCGGATGTGGTTGATTCCTAACTGTTTCTCCAAGGTTCGGAAGAAGTGAGATTCGAATTGTCGACCTTGATCACTTGTGAGTTGGGAAGGTGAACCTAATCTGGAGATCCAGCAACTTGTTGTCGACGAGTTGCTGTAGATAGGCTCCAATCGATGCTTTCGAAGTGTCTGAGAAAAGGCCTATACTTAGGGGTGCGACGGCGCTTGGATGCGCGAGGAGTGTGGCATCTCCGTGGCTTTGTTTGCAAGCTTCAAAGGCGTCCAACAGGGAAGGTGTCCAGTGAATCGGTTGATTTCCTTTTATGCCAATGAGTGCTTCGTGCAGGGGTGCTTGATAGTAGGCTGCGTCTGGTAGGAAAAGACGGTAAAAGTTCATCATGTCCAGGAATCTTCGTAGACCATGTGCATTTGCTGGAGGTGGGTATTCCATCAGTGCTGTTATACGGTCTGGAAGTGGTCTGATGCCTTGAGCGGATACTTTGTAATCAAGGAACTCAAGGGAAGCGGCGAAAAAGATGCTTTTCTTGATGTTGATGATGATGCCATATTTTGCTAGTCTCTAGAAAATTAAGCGCAGATATTTCTTGTGTTCTCTTTTGTCTTTTGAGGCGACCAGGATGTCATCTAGGTACGGGAAACAGAAATCTAAGCCTTGTATGACTTCATCAATGAAGCGTTGAAATGTTTGTCCTGCATTTCGCAGTCCAAAACTCATGTAAAGGAAGTCGAATAATCCAAAAGGAGTAGTGATAGCTGTTTTAGGTACATCTGCTGGGTTGACAGGGATCTGGGTGTATGCTTTGACCAGATCTGCACAGCCTTTGAGGTTGACTGTAAAGTCGTGGGGGTGGCGAATGGGGTACTTGTCGGGTACGGTACGAGCGTTGAGTGCTCGGTAGTCGCTGCAGGGGCGCCATTCGTCGTCTTTTTGGGGTGCATTGTGAAGAGGTGAAGACCAGGCGCTTTCGGATCTCTTGATAGTCCCTTCGTTAAGCGTTGCCTCGAACTCAGCTTTAGCGATTCGGTATAGCTTGGGTCGGAGGTGGCGAGGACGGGATGAGACTGGGGGCCCCTCTATCGTGCGGATGAAGTGTCGTGTTGCGTGAGGAATCTTGTCTGGTTTTGGGCTGCCTGGCGGGCGAGTCAGCGCTGGAAAATCTGATAGGATGCTGCAGTTTGTGGCCGAAATTTCTTTGACGCTAGGTTGATTGCTAAGTTGCTTGACTTCCTTGGGCTAGGAGTGTAGCGACCCCGTCCACGAGCTTCATCTTGTGGGAATCCGGGAGTAGGTGGTATTCAGCTAAAAAGTCCGCGCCAATGATGGGCACGTCGACGTCGGCGATGATAAACCGCTAGGTGAAAGCACGGCGTAGGCCGAGGTCTAACTTCATGGGCAGGAACCCATAGGTTTTGATATAGGATTCGTTAGCTGCTTTTAGCTCATAGTTAGTTGATTGTAAATGGCCCGGTGATAGGCGTCTGGGAAAACAGCAAAGGTCAGAGCCTGTGTCGATTAAAAAGATGTTGTTGCTATCTTTGTCTTTGATGAAAAGGTGGTTGGGCCGTGTGTGGCAGCCAGCAGCCGCCACTATTGGCTGCCGTTGTCGTTTGTTTAGAATGTGCATGGTCGTTGACACTTGTGGGCCTCTTTCCCGAAGTTTTCATGGTAGAAGCAAAATCCTCTCTCGGATTTAAACGGTGTGGATGAGCTATAGCGTGAGCGAGATCTGGAGCGGGAACGGCTTCTGCTTCGGTCGATGTTTCTCTCCAGATTTTTGACCTCGACATCCAAGAGATCGAATTTGTGGTTGAGGGATGCTACCAATTCTTTAATGTCGGTTAGAGGGTCTGGTTTGCTAATTTTGTGAACTGTGGGAGGATTGGTTGGAGCTGTGGTGGAAGTGGTGTTGAAGTCAAAATAACGAAAACCAGTAAAATTACTGAAAATCTGTTGTTAAGACAATCCTGCTCCTGTTGGCAACACCGCCATGCATGCCTACGTCATCTTTGATAGTCATGGTTGTTAATTGTTCGGTTCATGTACTCCACTAATGGAATCTCATATACCACGTCCGTTTTGACTTTAATAAAGTTCTCTGAGTTTCATGTCTCTTTTGTTCGATTCGTTCGCCCTCACCTAACAGAAACAACAGGTTATGGGCCCAGTGCGCTCTTGTCAGAATCTGAATAGCCATCAACACACACCCACAAGTCGTCGTGGATGAGCGACATCCTCATAGCGAACTTCCAGTCTGAAAAATTTTCCCGGCCGGAAAGTTTTTCGAAAGTAAACTTTTCTGATTTTTCTTCACTCATTATTGATTTGAGTGATTGGACGAATAAAACACAAATCAAGGAAAAAAAATGATGAACACGAGATGAGGCCTGTGCGTTTTAATTTAGGCCATCATTATCCGAGAGTCTTGTTACAGAGATGATTAAAGTCGCGGTCGCGTTTCGCGATGCACTGCTGGGCAACCATAACCTGTTGTTTCTGTTAGGTGAGGGCGAACGAATCGAACAAAAGAGACATGAAACTCAGAGATGACGTAGGCATGCATGGCGGTGTTGCCGACAGGAGCAGGATTATCTTAACAACAAAATCGTCCCTATCTGGCGTAGTAGGTTTTATTGAAACGAAAAAAAAAAGGCTCAGAAACAAAAGAGACATGATCTGGTAACCAGAAGAAAAAGAGAGAAACTAAACTGAGAGGTTACATCATCTTATCAAAGACAGAGACAAAAAAAAACAGGGCGCTCCAAGTGAGCAACTGGGGAAACTAAGAGATAAATATCACTTGCATACTGACACCCCCCCTCCCTCGCTCTGGGATATTTTGAACTACAAAAGAAATTTAAGAAAAACTAACAATTAAAGTAGTTACGGAATATTGGTCAAAAAAAAAGAGGGAACAACAATTTAAAATAAGGACTAAAGAGTAACACCAAAAAACTTACTCGCAGAACTTTGCTTAAAATTATAAAATTACATCGAGGATCAAAAGAGACGCAAGGTGTCGCTTAAAAATTTAAGATTAATTTACAGTTGTTCTGTGTAATTTCTGCGAAAATGGGAAAAGTAAAAAACGAAAAAAAACTTTTAAAATAAAACTCTGAGAAAAATAGAAAAACAGTTGAGAAACAAACAGAAAATTAATGCAACAAAAAATAATCAATCAGTCACAAGACCAGGCATTTGAGAAAATTGCAAAGTTTTGGGGCCGGTGAGAGATTTAGTAAAGAGGTCAGCGCAATTTTCATTACTAGGGACATAAACCGTGTCTATTTCTCTCTCACCTACCAATTCTCTAACAAAATAATATTTTACCACGAAATGCTTGCTCCGTTCTTTGACAGCGTCATTCTGTGCAATTGAATTAGCACCTTGATTGTCGCAGAAAATCTGAATAGGTTTACGTGGTAGTAAAAAACAATGATCTATTTCTGCCATAAATGTTTGGAGCCATGTCAATTCACAGGCACACTCATACAGTGCAATATATTCAGCATGGGTGCTGGAGCTCGCGACACATTTTTGCTTGCGGCATTTTAATCAAGGTGGGTTTTTCATACGTTTTCGGTTTGGGTCTGGGGGCTCCTCCTTTATGGGCTGAAGTTGATGGGAGGATAGGAAAACCTAGAGGTGGCTGCGAAAACGAAAATTTTTTGTTTTCTTTCCTTGGGCGTTTCTTAGCTGTTTCTGCCTCACTCTCTTCAGCATTCTTTTTTGTTTTGTGACCCGGACCATATCCAAATTGCAATCTTCGAAGTTTGCTGGAAAAAGGAAGATAAATGATTGGCAATATGTTCTAAAGGAGGAAATTCAAAAATCAAAATTCCCTAACTTCTTTAAAAAAAAATCCTGAACTAATTTTGGCTTAATTCCCTGACTTTTTACCCCAAAAAAATAACTTTAACGTTCGGCGGTAATGTTCCAGGGCCAACCAGCTACACTGCTCAGATTGTTTTCTTCTCTGAATGGAAANTTACATCCATTACATAAACTATGAATATTCTTTAGCTTGTGGTTATTTACGGTTTATACTTTTAAAAACAAATTTTTTATATAACTCTGCTACTAGGGAAGGAACAATTGAGATTTTATTTAAATTTTTTTTTTCTAAAATGGAAAATAATACTGAAAAATAAATATCGTACAATTTGACAAATTTAAGTAGGAAAAATTTAACTACAAAGGGAATCTAATTCAACTCAGTCTCATAATCTTTTCAAAATTTGTACATTTATAAGACTTTGAAGTTTACAATTTAAAAAGTAGTAGGTAAACTAATTTTTTGAGCAAAAAAAAAGAAGAACAATGGCAGGAATCATATTCAAAAACATTGGAGAAAATAAATGCAACAAAAGGTGAGGTTTTAGAGAACCACATGTCAACACTATACACTATAAAAGAAAAAAAGTAACTTCGTTGAAAAAGTATAGTCTTAGAACGATGGGTAACTTAAATTTAAAATGAACCCACAGCCACATGAAGAGAACGAAAATAATAATAATAAAAAAAACCTCTTACAATTAACTATTTGTTAGCACAGATATCACAAACATATTGTTGAGCAGTAGGATCAGCACATTTCTCATGGCACCATTTTTTGCAGACTTCACACTGAATCCAGTCCTCTGTTGGAGGCTCTACGTACTTTTCTGAGCAGAAAATACAGAACGTTTCTTCATTTTCAGTGTCGTTGTTTTCCTGCGGAGGCTGATTTTCTTTCATCAGCTGATTGTTTTTCTTCCTACCCCCTTTTCCTCTGGAGACAGGTGCAGACACGACTAAGTCTTTCTTTACGGTCTCCTTTGGAGCACATTCTTCGGATGGAGGCATAGACTTACTCAAATTTCTCCTGACCTTCTTCTTTGGGGCAGCTTTTTCAGCAATTTTTTCTAGTAGAATCTTTTTAAAAGGTGAACTAGTTAAAATTTCTGATCTTTGGGCATTGCTTCGCCTTCTTTTGACAGAGTTTTCAGTTTTCTTGGGTAGTGGGAGAATATCTGCAGGCGAAACAAGTAACTTTGGAGTTTGTGGAGGGGGTGCTTTCGAGCTTGAAGGAGTGCTCAATTCAGGATTTTCATTGCTGAAGTTGCTTTTAGGCGCCTCAGAAACAGCGCTTGACACAGGAACATCAGTAGTTTCAAGTAAGCCGTCGTCCTTAGTATCAGAGAGAGGAGGAATTTCAATATCAAATGAGCGAAGGGCTTCCGTGGCGAGAGTTACAGGATCAGCTGTCATAACATCTAAATCTAAATTTAGTGGACCAGAAAAATCATCTCCCAGTAACTCACAGACATCCAAAACTATGGCTTCCGCATTGCGGATGAGAGTTTCATCATCGTCAATTGAGCTGGGAGCGGTAGATACTGGTAAATTAGGAGTAACATTTGGCAAATCACTATCTTTAGCCCCCTCAGCTCCAATAGAGTTAGTGTTGGTTGAAGTCTCGTTAGAATCAAGGACTTTGGCTTCGTTGTTTTCCTGTTCCGGAATGTGGAATGTCTTAGATGGGGCGAAGTCTTCATCTTTGAATATATTTCTGTTGAGCGGGTATAAGCCACATTTTTTAAAACCGTTCTTGGCCATCTGAGCTGTCAAGCCAGAGTATGCTATATTCACGAAACCAGCTACATGTTTTTGCGCGATTCTTACCCCGACGTTTTTAGGGTTTTTCATAAAATCATCAATAGCTAGCTCAAAATTGTTTTTAAAAGGCTTATACACTGCCACATCTAAAACCTGAAGTTTATGGGTAGTATGTGGAGGCACCGTCACCATGTGCACCCCTGATTTTTTGGCGAGATCTACAGCATCTAGATTAACATGAGATCCATGATTGTCAAGGACAAGAAGAACTGGACTTTCTGGCGATGCGTGTGATTTTAAGATAAAAAACTTCATCCATTTTAAAAAGAGATCACTATTGATCCAACCTGAGTCCGAGCACCAAAATTCTGAGCCTTCGGGCGCACCTATTTTAAGGGTTTCTGTTACATTTTTCCTGCGTCCAAATATGAAACAGGGTGGGATGTAAACACCTGCAGCATTCACACATCCAATGATGGTAGTCAATTGACCTCGCTCTGCAGAGGCAATAACACCGACTTGCTTCCTCCCTTTGACAGAGAGCACTTTTGGTGGATTATTTGAAGTCGTATGCACACCAGTCTCATCCATGTTATACACATCGCTAGCAGATAAATGAAACCCAAGTGCTCGATAAACGCTTAATAAATTGTCAAAGTAGCGGTCAACTGCCTGGCGATTGAAACCAGCTGCTCGAGCGATGCTTGTAGGTTCTGGTTTACGGAATCTCAGCTCCGGGTGACGTTCTAGGAATTTGAAAACCCAATCTCTACCGGCAGTCTCATTCTTGAAAGGATGTTTAATATGATTTGCCTCAGCTAAAAGATACGCAAGTTTTCCAAGAGATTCTCGAGTCAGTCCGTAGAATCGTTCATCCAGAAGTTTAGCATGATTGACCAACTCTTTTTCAAATTCTGAGGGAAATGTACAGGTAAATCTACCTAATTTTTTGCTCACCAATCCTGTCACTTTGTGTCTGTACAAAGTCCCAATTGGAATACCATACGTAGCGGCCGGCTGCTTCGACAAGTCTTTTCTTTCGCGTTGATCGAGTCCAATGCCTTGGCCATCTGCACCTCTGTCCATTTGCCGTGTTTGTTCTGTTTCACATACTTGACGGCGTTGACGGCGTGGCGGGGACCGATGTTCTGGGGGTCGCGGGGTAAATCGTATAACTTTATATAAGAGATTATTGCAATATTTTTTACAACTTTATACCTATAAATTGATACATTATATCAATTTTTACGTTGAAAAATGCTACTTGAGAACTGTCTGCTTCGTCTTCTGCATCAAATGAGTCGAAAATGATGAAATTGTCACGGTTTTTTGTGCTTCTAAATTGCGGAGGGATTCCTCTTAAGGCTGTGATGTCGGTGGGATTCGTAGGAAAGTTGGCGATCCTCTTCTTGTTTAAAGTTCTTTTCATGGTCTCTCTCTCTGGTAGTAGAAGAAGGACAAGTGAGCCAACCTCACCTAATTTCTCCCTGATCAACAGGCTAGGTTTTGCTTCCGGATGAACTGCTACTTCTTCCTTCAACTCGGCGTAAATCCTCTTTGCTACAACTTCATCTTGGTTAGGGGGATGATCGTGTTTTCCTACCTTAATCACTTGCAAAGGCTCATTAATGGTTACAGCTCTGACGGAACACTCCGATTTTTTGTTACACACCCAGTACGTTCGTGTTCGATTAGAATTTGAGGAATGTTTGTGATATAGATAACCTTCAAAGGATAGTATTTTCTTGTTTCTATTGCTATTAATTAATTCTGCCATTGTGAAAGGAAGAAAAAAATGAAGAAAGATGCACAACACTGATAAATTTAAGGATAGTATAAAACAAAGAAAAAGAAAACTGACACTGGGTAATTTTGTTGTATTAAAAGCGCAAATAAAATAACCTACTTAATATCACTCTATGAATTTTTGACTAAATGAAAAAAAAAATGCTTGTAGTCATGGAAACGAAGAGGCGTATGTCTACCTCAGTAATTTCTAGTCAAGTAAATTGTATCAGTATACCATAGGATTAAACATCTCACGGGTGAAATTACTCGGGCTTAGTGTCTATGGGTAAAAAAACTTTGGGTGAAAATTCCCGTGGGCAATTGGATTTGGGTGAAAGGGCATGAAATCATCTGAGCCACTCATAACGCTAGCTCCATCGTAGCACTGGCTCAACATGTTTTCGGTTTCACGTTTTTCTTCTCCAATGTTTCTAAAGTTACATTTGTGAATGTTTCGGCGTCTAATTTTTCTGTAGACTCAATAGACAGTATTGATTCGTAAACGTGTTTGTCTTTCACGTAGCGCAGAGCAATGGCAACATTTTCACGCCGATTTTTATCCTTAGTACCGTCTTCCAATAATGTAAACAATGAGACGTCCGACGTGTTAACTTCATTTGCCGCATCTTCTTGAATAGCCTCGGTCATAATTTGAATTATTTCGTTCTGAATTTCAGGTGATTTGTAGGTTGCATTTTTAGGGATGACACTAGAATTACAAATTAAAATAATAAACGAATTTTTAATCGAGTCAATTTTTGGTCATTAGAACAGTTTCACAGTCTTAGGTGGCTGAATTATGACTAATCCAAAAGAAGGAAAAAAAAATTGAAAAACGAAAGAACAAAAGAAAAAAAAATTAAAACTAACAAATAAAAATAAAGGTAAAAACCTGATGCTTCGATTCCTGATTGAACCGTCATTAGAGTAGCAATGGCTTTTACTAGCTGGGGTTTATAAGCCCTCCAATCTCTCTCAGGATATTGCAGTAGAGTTAAAATAACCCGTAAGTACAATTCATTTCAGGAAAATACAGTAGAGTTAAAATTTATCAAATTCTGAGGAAATCTGTAGACTGTACAAATTGAAGAAGGCTGAGAGGGCAGGAAAGGACTTAACCAATCAAAGAAGCGAATACACAATGAATCAATCCCAAGCTTTAAACCGAAAATTTTGAACGTTTACAAGTGCAAATTAAAATGACTAGTTTCAACATCAGCTTCAAATGACTTGAAAATGGTGAAAGCTTGTTTACCCATACTTTTGATTAATGAAGCGTTTTTTCTTGCATCTGATTCTTTGGTTAAACCAGCCGCACGAAGAAAAAGTTTAAACTTTGCGTACCAATTTTTTCATTTGGCACAAAGGTCTCCGGAGAATGACATAGTTGAAGAAGACATGTCGAGGTTTTGGCTCGAGGAGGCCAATTAAGAAATCGCAAAATGATTAATAAATCGCGAAATGATTACTTGCCGCCCCGATAGAACGCGGTACGCGGCAGGTCGGGGTTAGTTTAAAGGAAGGCTGGAGGCTAGAGTACTACTCCAGCACGCTTTTCGAATGAGGCTCATTTTGCAAAATACGTTGGAATGAAAAAAGAATTGCCTGATGAAGTTTACTTCCGCGAAAACATTTTTAAATCCTCGTCGCCGATTGCTATGACGGAAAAAACGAGCTAAAACGACACCATGACGTTACATATTCAGCCAGTATATTTAGGAATGGAACAGAGATGCCTCCACGGCTTGACCCTGGCGGATGGACACCATTACATACTGGCCATTACATACTGCCAACCCGAACACACATTTGGAATCAAATTAAAACAAGTTAATCGGAGAATCGTCAAAAACAAACAGAAAATTAGCTCAAGTTAGGTCTCTGCTCCTTATAATTTGGATAGGTGCTTGAAACTAATGATACGTCCAATGATTGGTCACGTAATGTTGCTGGGTGTGAGTTTGCTGGCGATTACGCTTATCCCCTATCTTAAAATTTCCTCACATCTGAAGAATAATTGAGGGGCTTGGAAGAACAAGGGGCACAAGTGCAGCCTTTGAATAAAATTTAGTTAATAATGATATCAACTATACCTAACTAACCTTGAAATGTATTCTGTGAAAAATGTATCACCAAAATCCAATTTTTAAGCATCAAAAATTGAGTTTGAACTTTATTTCCGTCATGTAACTTTTTTTTTTCATGTAATTGTAAAACTTTCCTCTTGAATTAGCAAGTTTCCGATTAAATTGATCTTGAATTAGCAGTAACTGCGCTTATCTGCCTTGTCCTCAAAGCCCCTCAATTCTAATATGCTGAATAGTAAAGAGTCTCACTAACAATATTCATACGAAAAGTGTATGGGGATGACACCATCAGTTTCAGAACAACCTCTCCTGTATTGGCAAAGATGAAGAACATGTTTTGTACTTATGTGTAAATTTTTCAGTCATAATTTGTAAGTAATTAGGTAATATTTTTATGAACTAACAGTATTTCAGACAGGAAGGTTTGAAATGGTCTGAAAAAACTTAGGTCATCAAAATGAAACATATCCTCGGTGTTTATGGCTGTGTCCGGTGCTTTAAACCAGCGTGAGTCTGAAAAAAGGAATATGAATTTTTGTATTACTTCAAAAAATTTCACAAAGTCTCACAGCCGTGTTTAACAAGATTATTTAATCAAAATCTGATGAATAATCACATTTTTCTGTTAAATTTTTCTCAGTTGTCTGGAAACTGGAAAAGAAAAAAGATGCCTCTTGATAAGTAAGTACCGACGAAAGGTGGGCATTTTTCACTTTTAAAAAACTCGGCATTAGACACCACACTGAGACGTGAGGCTTTTTCTTTTTGACCCTCTCCCCCTCCTCTAATCTTCTCCCCTCCCTGCTATTTTCCAGAACTGCAGGAAAATTTCTTTCTGTCAAAGAACAAAAAATGATAGGTGACCGTACGGTGAGCCTAAAATTTACTCATCAAGTTTCTAAATGCTGTCACAAAGGTCACTAAGAATCAGTTTATGAAAGTCTTCAGGGAGACATGTATACATTTTATAAATATGCCAAGCTAATTTTACCCGAATTCAAAGGCATATTATTTATTTTGAACTTAAAGCTGTGGGCATTTGCAAGTTGTGATGCAAAATTCTTTCCAAACTTTCTGAGAGCAGAAGAACCTCTCTGATGATCCGAAATGGTAGTAGGAATTCCTGGGTCAAACTCTTTTGTAATAGCCGTTGTATATTGTAGTTTTTTTTTTTGTTGTTTGTTTTAAGCTGCCCATTCTAGGATGGAAATCAGAGGAATTTTATTACTTTCGACCTCTAAAAATTTGTCACGGCAATTAAAAAAAAACGAAGAGCAGTTTTACCGCTCCTTCCCTTTTCAAGAAGTAGGGCCTCTGTTACCATTCTTATGTTGCAAATCGGCAGTTCGCTCTCCATAGCATTTTTTCAATATCAAGGAATAATTGGAAGGTGGTCTTCCATATTTTATTGTACTCATCCAATATTGACACCTCAAACGCTGTTTAAGATTCCTTTTCTATTAATTATTTTTAAACCATGGAGATAATTTGTAACTTTATTGCCTTAAGTAGATATCGAATTTCTTTTTAAATTGTGAATCTGAAGAATTTTGTAATTTTTTTAATGTTATATAAAATTTTATATTTTTATTGTTTCTTGTATTAAATAAATGTTAACTATCTGCTCTACATGAAGTTTGATTCCGCATTTTTCGCATTTTTTAAAATAGTCTGCTCAAAGTAACACCCTTCTCTATTGCTAAAGCCTATCATTGAAAGTCTTTGAGAATTCTAATTTTTATTTGCTCACCTAAATTAAGTGTCAAATTATAATGATGCAAATTACGGCTTGAAAGTTCGATCTGATGTTCGGCAGGGCATGAGAATCATGAAACAAATACACAAATATGCTGCCCAAAAGAGGATTTTCCAATGGGGAAATCGCGATCTTTTGAAATCAAGTTTCGATTTTTTACGGGACATTCATGGAGCCCTAATAGTTGCTTACATCCAAGCGTTAAAATGAAATTCGATCTGTGATCGTTGCATTGGATCCTAAGCAAAACTTTGACTGTTTTTCTTTCACCTTCAGTTAATTTCAGCGTTGCCATATAACGAAGATGTAAACAACTACTTACTTTTAATTACTTTTAATTTCAACGACTTGAGCGCGCACCGTGCTGTACGCGCAATGCATGAAGTATCCTGCGGTCTTGTGAGGCGCTACTATGGGCCGCGCGCGCACCGTGCTATACGTGCAATGCATGAAGT